TGTTGTCGGGGTCCTCCTTAAACATCTCTTGAAGCATTTCATCGCCACATGAAATAGTGGCGTCATCAATGGATACTCGGTTAGATTTAGACCTTTGGGTAGAAGGACATGGGTCGGGTGAATGAAGAACGGTATTCTCCTTACCATTGTGGAGGGGTAAGTCTTCTAGTAGATCATCATCATCAAACAGGGAGAAGGGGTTTTTAGAGGAACCGGTGGAACAGGGGAGCAATGAGGAGAAGTTAGGCTTAATAGGTTGGTTAGGTGTGGAGAATCGGATAGAATGCGGGGGGGGAGGGGTAAGGTTGGGTTGGTCTTCTTTTGTATCAAAGGTGACGAAGAGATTCATGGTCTTGTGAACTTTGAGGTGGTTGAAGAAATATGAGACAGCACCGTCGTTGGTCAATAAAACCGGAGGAGTTGTAAGTCCAGTCGCGAGCTCTTTTGTATTTGGAGGCCAGTAACTCAAGACGGATGGCGGAGCAGGGGACGTAAAAGTGAAGAACTCGTTTGAGACGTTGTCTTGTAGTTGAGCCAAAGTCATACCAGCAAGAAGAGGGACGATCCGAGACATCTTTTTTTATCAATATCAAACTCCCAGAGACCACCGGTGGTGGTCCATTGACCGGGAATGACCATGCAATGGTCAACCATGGTGAACTGAGAAATGATAATACAAAGATTAATGGATGGTCGATGATGTTAATTGTATATTATAAGACAAACCTTTGTTTTGTTCTTGTTAATTGGAGCTGATGAAGATTGACAAGAAGATCCGTAGGAAATTGGAAAAGGAGAAGGGAAGAAGTGTTTATGAAACACATAAAATCGGGACCGTTGAAAAAAAAGGGGATCTAATCCAAGAGTCTATAATAGTGGCAGATATCTGTCTAATCATCAATGGTGAGGATTAGTATTAGGCGTTGGATTGGATACAGATCAAGGGTTGAGGTTTTTTCCCGCTTAAACAAAGTCTTTAGTTAATTGATTAGTAACTATGTTGTTTAGGGTAACGAAAGGGAGGGGAAATAGTTAAGAGAAAGTGTGCATGTAGTAGAAACTGCCTTTCTATGACATTTAAAACATAAAACTGCCCTAGAGTGACAATTTTTCAAAACAAAAACTAGTTAAACCCCTTTGTTTGACTTGGCCACCTTGACTTTTCCCTAAAACCGGTTATCTACCATCTTTAACCGAACCGAAGTCTTTTCTGTGGCACAAGAGTCTTCTCTCTTGATGACCTCTGCGAAGTTTCAACTTGACTAAGACAATATAATACATGTTTCCACTGGAATCATTCATCATTTCTCAAACATTAAAATATTAAAAAGCAGAATTTTGGCAGACACGCAAAAAAATTCCCAACAGCCCCTCACCCGCCAAAACAAAACGCGAACGAAGTAGCTGAACTCTCTCAATTATCATCTTAGATATAAAAACGGCATTACCTGTTTTTAGATTTTACCTCTCTCTTCTCTCTAGATTCTCTCCTAAAATCCTAAAATTATCTCTCCATTTTTCTCTTTTCGTTTTTTTTTTTTTTGAGTGGCGCTTACCTCTAATCCCAAAACCACCATGAGGTTTTGCGTTTACGGGTTTCTATCATTACTCCTAATCGTTTCCCCCGTCTCCGCCTGGTTCTTCCCCAACTCCACCACCATTCCACCCTCTCTCCGCAACACCACACGCGTTTTCTGGGACGCCTTCTCCAACTTCACCGGCTGTCACCACGGCCAAAACGTCGACGGTCTCTCCCGCATCAAAAAATACTTCCAACGTTTCGGTTACATCCCCGAAACATACACCACCAACAACTTCACAGATGATTTCGACGACATCTTAAAATCCGCCGTCGAGTTATACCAAAAGAATTTCCGGTTAAACGTAACCGGAGAGCTAGACGCGTTAACCATCAAACACATCGTGGCTCCCCGTTGCGGCAACCCTGACGTGGTCAACGGCACGTCCGTAATGCACAACGGAAGAAGAAAAACGTTCGAAGTATCCTTCTCCCCCGGCGGCAAGGTACCCCGTCTCCACGCGTTCAAACACTACACGCTCTTCCCCGGGGAGCCACGGTGGCCTAGAGACCGCCGCGACTTAACCTACGCCTTCGACCCGAGAAACCCGTTGACCGACGAGGTCAAGAGCGTGTTCGCACGTGCGTTCGGACGCTGGTCCGACGTCACGGCGCTAAAGTTCACCAACCTCGAGTCTTTCACCACCTCAGACATCACCATAGGGTTCTACACGGGCGACCACGGCGACGGGGAGCCTTTCGACGGCGTGTTGGGGACGTTGGCTCACGCTTTCTCCCCTCCGAGCGGGAAGTTTCACCTCGACGCCGACGAGAACTGGGTTGTCTCCGGAGACCTAGAGAGTTTCTTGTCCGTCACGGCGGCGGTTGATCTTGAGTCGGTGGCGGTTCATGAGATTGGTCATCTTCTTGGTTTGGGACATTCCTCTGTGGAGGAGTCGATCATGTATCCGACGATCACTACGGGGAAACGGAAAGTTGACTTGACGGATGATGACGTGGAAGGGATACAGTATTTGTATGGTGCGAATCCTAGTTTTAATGGGACGTCTCCGCCGGCGGCTACCACTACTCGGGAACGAGATACTGGTAGCTTTGGTGCTGCCGGGAGAATCGACGGTTCGTCGAGGTTGATGGTTTTTAGTCTCTTGTTATCGACCGTTGGATTTTTCTTTTGTGGTTCTTACCGTAGATAAATTACTTTACTTTCATTTATTTAGATTTATTTTATTTTTACCTCGTTTCTTAATTTTTTAGTTATTATGTATACACAGATTTGCCGTACAAAAAGTATATACAGTTACACAGATATTCAGCCTATAATATTCAGACATTGGTTCCTCTCGACAGTTTTTCTTTTTTTACAAATAGTACTTCTGTACATATAAAACTGCTTCAGATTACCAATGTTGATTTTCGTGTTATACATTTTTGTTTCCTGTGTTTCTGATTAGTATTCATTTACATAATAAAATAGCATTGATTTACGTAAGACATTGGTTTCTCTTGATTGAAATCCAGTTGTTCTATTTATGTCCATTCTGTGTAGTGTCTATATGATCAAGCGATTATGAGGAAGCCGAGTATCTATATGTCCATCCATTTGTTTTATGTCCAAGCTGTCTTTTTTAAATGTGATTATGTAGAAGCCCATATATGGATGTTGGTCTTGCTTGCACCTTCCGCAAAGCTTTGTATATCATATTACTGTTGTTCATAAGAGAAAAAGGTCCAAAGGATTACAACCACAGAGACATGTAAGCAACTTTGGCCTTTCAAATTCTCAGAAAGAAGCTCTGAGAATTCTCTCTTCTTCACTCTGTTTCCAAAACTAAATGTAAAAATGAGACAAGGACAGAGAGATGTTCAATAGCCCGTACGGGTGTTGATTGTTGAACAAACCTGATTTAGGGAGCAGCTTCGAATCACCAACCAATGACAGCAATTCTATTGTAACACATGAAGTGATTTATAATTTGATATCAAGTGGCCTCATTTTGGTCTCTCCTTTCAACCTCCCACATCGGCTAAATGGGAGTAAGTAGCAACAGAAGTTACATGATAAATACAGGTCTCACTCTTACTTTGAAAACCACGCAGCCATGTGGTGAGCACAAAGCGAACTATTCTTTCGCCTTTTACTAAAGAATACCGTGTGCTCTCCATGCTGAAGTGGCATACGCTTATTTTTGGAGGGTCCTACTTTCGAGTGGGCCCAACAACAGTTAGTTGAAATGTTTGTCTGTTTTGAGTTTGTTGAAACTCCATTGATTGATCCATGATTAATTCTGAGTTCTGTTTCTTCATTGTTCATCAACAAGAGAGTCGACCTAATACTTGACAGCACGAGGACATGACTATGATAAGTCAGATAAAAGAAAGTGACCTGAAGATCTCATCATTTAAATGGCAATTTTTTTGTTCCAACGATCTAAATCATCTTTCACAAGATATCGTGAACTAAGATGCGTAGTATTTCTGTAATCATAAGTACAATTTGGAGGAACTTGTTTTCACATGCCATTTTTCTTTTGTTTCTTTGACACTTGACTTTTTGAAGCAAAGAATAATCTCTGTTTTGTTTAGACTTTAATTAATTTTGTGAAGATCAGTTGTTCCTCGTCCGTTTTCACCTTTACACTGTGATTAAAAGGTTTCAACAAATTGTCTCTACGCCAAGGTTTATTTCAGGCCCATTAATGCCCATGATTTTAAAATCAGTACCTGTACCGAGCGCCTTCTTGGTGTTACGTTTCAGCCTCCCGCATCGGATAAATGGAAGCAGCCAGCACAAGAAGTTACGCTATAAACACAGCTCTCGTTCTTCACATGAAAATCACGCAGCCATGGGGTGAACAACAAAGCGAACTATTCTTTCGCCTTTTACTAAAGAATACCGTGTGTTCTCCACGCTTAAGTGGCATACGCCTATTTTTGGAGAGTCCTGCTTTCGAGTGGGCTCAGCAACATTTAGTCAAACTTGGAGTGTAATCATCTGTTCGAACTTTTGTTCTGCAATTAGTAGAGTATTGATCATATTGGAAACTTCGCCTAATAATATGGGGGAGATTCTTGATAAGAGTCTCTCAACATTTTCGTCTGTTTCGTTCGGCTCCTAATCATTAAGGTCTTGGGACATTTCAACTCGATTGCAAAATGGTCGCTGAGTGTTATCGAAAGCAGTGGTAAATTGGTACTGATGTGTGGCGAAGGAAATCGCAAAAATCTGTCCAGTACAAACTCAACCCGCCAGTCCATTTGCTGTAAATCTTTTAATGTTTTTAGCTTATTGTAAATATTGTGCACACAATTTGTTTGAGATGTCAATCATCATAATTATAATGATACTTTTTTTCTTTGTTTAGATAAAACATTACATTGAATCTGGAAGGTAGAGACAGGGGGAAAGAAAACATTTGACTTGACTTCTATTGGGAAAAAGAGTTGTAAGTTGGGAGAAAAATAAAGTATCTTAAAAAGTCCAAACGTTTTAAAGGCCAAGAGGCCCATTGAGATATTTAAATCCAGTGCGTCATTTTGGTCTCTCGGTTCAACATCCCACACCGGCTAACTGGAACTAAGCTGCAGCAGAAGTTGCATGATAACTACAGGTCTCACTCTTGCTTTCAAAACCACGCAGCCATTTGGTGAGCACAAAGCGAACTATTCTTTCGCCTTTTACTAAAGAATACCGTGTGCTCTCCACGCTTAAGTGGCATACGCCTATTTTTGGAGGGTCCTGCTTTCGAGTGGGCCCAACAACCAATAGTTCAAAATTTCATAAATTCCATTTCATTTTTCAAAATGATGGTGGTTGTGTTTATGTGTTTAAGATTCTCTTCAGCAACATTTTCTACATGTTTGCATCAATCTCGCTTTTGAAATCAACAAGAGCAAAACCTTTTGCAGACAGAATCTTTGGTCTTCTTGTTCCCAGACACAGCTGGTGCTGAGTTCAAGATACCACTTGCTTCTTCAAAAGCAGCCTTGACTGAGGTCTCTGTGAACGTTCTTCGTCTTTGGAAGATTGGTCACACTAAAACGGAACCCACTTTGAGTAACAATATGTGATTTAATGAACCTAAGTAAAGCCCATTCATTTTGAATTCAATTAATTAGGCCCATACGTTAATATGTAGTCTTTGTAACTTGATGTAACACCATGTGTTTTATAAAAAAAAAACTTGATGTAACACCATAAATGCTGTTTGCTTACATTTAGCATGCCTGACCAATAATTTACATGGAATCATATGGTATAATGGATTTTAATTGAGAGATGTATGAATATTTGAGACAATATCTTTCGAAGGCCCCAGGTTTTTAAATGAACTTCATATATAATTATTATGTATTTTTTCTTTCAATTTCTCACTTTTTTTGCTAACGCTGATTTGATTAGCCGTGGCAAAATCAAAGGAGCCAGATAGACTCATTCATGAAAATGCGAGAATTTTAAAAAATAAGAGAAGAAAAGCTGAAAGAAACCAAAGTAAATAATATCAAAGTTCTTAAAAAGTAAAGAAATAAAAACAGTGCAGAAAATACAAAAATGCTAGGCTGTGTAGACCCTTCAGAGGGATGGAGATTAAGCTTTGTACATATTTACGTGTCCATTTTGTAATTGGACCATTTCTTGATTTGAAGTCATGAGATCTCTCTCAATGGGACCATTTCCTCATACATGTTGGTCCATTTCACATGTGTGTGGTTCTGTAGACGTATTTATACGTTATACATATACCGTGTTATTATTTGTTTACTCAACTTAAACCTACTTGCATATGTTGCTTTAGGTCTTGGGGGTTAAATGTGCTATGATTTGGTTTTACATAACACGTGTGTATATCATGAACCATTAATCAATATATTACCTAGTTAGTACAAGTAGAGAGATATACTAGTATATAAGTAAATGAAATAAATGCAACATGTGATGAGAACCATATATGCTAGTAGTCAAAGATGCGTAAGACCTTTTACATTAACTCGTCGTATCATAGTTAGATAGTCTTCACAAAATTAGAGTTAGGTTGAGTTGGAGTACCTATTGAGTTTGGCCTACACTGATGCGTTCCAAAGTCAGTCAATAGTCAATATAACCCTATATATTTATTGGTTCCTACTTCTATCATATTTATTCGTTAGCCATTCTCGTAATACTTTTACGCTATCATATGTTTATATAATGTCACTTATACATATTACATATATTATATAGACTGCAAATTGCAATAGGTTGCTACTACTAAGAAAAAGGTTTATAGAGTTTATCATTAAAGATAAGCCACAATCTGTCAAGCCGCCGTAGTAATTAATTGATTTCGATGGACGATCATAATAATAGAGCTCTAAGATAGACAAAACTAAGAAGAGCTTAGTGGGTAGTTAGATAGGCAGCAACTTAGGCACTATAACAATGATACATCTACTACGAGAAGCTTTTTAGTGTACAACTGTACATGTAACATTTGCATGTACGTTACATAACCTATCGATAGTACTAAGTACTAATTACTAAATACTAATTACTAATCCACTTCTATTAGGTTGAAGAACGCATGTTAGACCATTCCGGTCAATATTCACTAATTAGTATTTGTGTATAAAGTATAAACTCTAAACAAGAACGGTGCCACGTTTTCACTCTAACATTTAATAGCTTAAAATGCACATGCTTTCTTGTTTTGGCCATATATATTACATATTTTACACATGGTAACTAGATTGGTTACAACTTATAAATAAAGTGGTCGAATATCCTACAGATTTTTGTAATGTTCTCGTTCTTGTATGCACGTCCCACTATTAATTTAAATATGTGTTGATCACCATCTAACCAATTTTGTTTTTTATATAATGTTTTGTTTGTTTTGAATAAAGGATTTAAGTATTAATATATAATACATATGACCTGCTAAATATGTTTTTCCTTGGATTCTAGAGAAAATAACACACTAATATAAGCTATTAGATTTTTTCTATATAGATTTATAAATACAAATCTATATAGTATTATCACTAACTAGACAGATCATCTAAGAAGGTACTGACGTGGAAACATCTTTCTTAAGAGAATAATGAAATGTATCTGAACTTGATCGGAGCCTATATGCCACTAAACGATCGAGAGAGATAAAAAGGTTATTTAAAGACGAAATGGTGGTATAGTCGTATAGAGTATAGTGAGTCATAATCGGCAAACGCCGACCAAAGTCCAAAAGATATACAAAAATATGAAGAAGGGTCCGTCTGAACATTTTTTGTGTGCAAAATCTCGATGACAACTTATACCAGATCGCAAACGTCTTTCAGAATTAGTTAAGTTAACGTATCATTAATTATTTAATCAAGATATTTTTTAAATTTTTTTTTATTCCGGAGTATTTTAAACACTTGTAGTATGTCCTAACCATAAGAGTTTTCACTAACTCGACTGAGGCAAATAAATGTGATCCTATTAGATGAGATGTAATAACAGTCGAAAACCGGACAATTTTGTTTAAGTACGGTAAACTATTTTGATGCATCATATATATAATGTTCAATGGCATGAAAAAGTGAAATTTCCTCTCTCAGGGTAGAAGTTATTGTAGAAGTTCTCTGTTTCATAATATAAATTATTTTGAAATATTTATATGCAATTTTTATATTTATTGAGTATTGTGTAACCAATTCAATTTTGCAATTTTTATATTGGTGATTTATATTAACTTTATATATATATGTATATATATATATTAAATGATACATTTTTGTAAAGTAACATTTTTAATATTTTTGTGATTTAAACTAAAATAAAATATAGTTTATATTATGCAACAGATCAATTTTTTTTAATGATCAACAAATTTAAATCAATTAGTATCATAGCACTTGGCACCCGTAACTTTTTACAGTAAGATATGAAAAATATAGCAATTAACACTAAAACAACAAAAACAAAAGGATAATTCAGCGGAAAATGTAGTAGACACTTGAAACGATCAAAAACTCAAAACAATATACGTTACTGTGTCTACAGACTACAGTGTTTTGAAAAGTGACACTATACATCTATCATCTTGCAAATGTTTGCGAGTATATATAGACAATTATACAAAGTTAAAAAGGTCTCAAATTCATGTTGCTATTTAGTAATTGGAGTATGGAGCTCGAGTAAAAAGTCAATAAAGGATTCGTGCAAAATCATTTAGGCGTCGTTATCATTCGACTGAAATTGATAGCTACAATGATCTGAATTCACCGAATTTTCAATGTTTGTGGTTGTTCATTTTCTTGTTCTTCCTTTAAAGTAGTATTGAAAAATGTTTCCCAAGATTAATTTAATGTAGCAACTGATAAAACATTTCAAACATATATACTTGAAAATTGATCGACCCATCTCGTTTACTATCCATTTTCTACTAACGCAACACCGGCTCATGCTCATCGATCAATGATCAATTTATAATAATATGACAAGAGATATAAACGGATAGATTTATACGTATCAATAAGCTCCGAGTTGACCATGCTACAGTAGAAAATTAATGTGACGATGATAGTAAAAGATCATGTCTAGTGCAGACATAACATACCAATCTGAAATAACCATTCAACAACGATTGTTGACTATAAGACCATAGCTCCAATGAATTGTATTGGTTTTCTTTGAGAAATTAAGACATTAACCAAATTTACTAGCCCTACCACGAGAATGTAGTGTCAGTATGATAAATTGTTGTAGGTTAGGAGGTGCATAATTTCACTCCTTTTGTTTTTCAGTGCTTCATTAATATAAATATAAATAAACACATACAAACATTTAATAAATGAAACATCTTTTTAAAACAATTAATAAATGTAAACATGCATGAATGAGTGTAGAGCAGTATTTTTAATTTTAAATAGGAGTATTGTCTACCTAAACAGAGAACAAAACAAGTAGAACCAGCCGAGGTATAATACTAATAGTGAAGAATGTTTTCCGAGAATATTATAGAGATATCATCCATGAAGACATGATCTTCAGTTCAAATATACCACATTTGTTTCTATGTTTAATAGTGGTCCATTCAATTGTTAAATTATACTCCATTCGTTTCATTTTAGTTGTGTTTTAGATTTTTACACATTAAAAAAATATTTAATTTTACATGTTTTTAAAATAAAAACACAATTACCTATATATATCTAACACAATTACCTATATATAAAACGACATTTATTTTAAAACGAAAATTTTTCTCTATAATGACATGTAAACTAAAAAGAAGTAATTATTTTACGTTTTCTTTGAATTTATCTCTGTGGACCACTTGTATCCACCTTTTTGCTTTGCATTTGGAAATTTAAATGGTTTATTTCATATTTTTCTGATAATTTATTACTCATTTTGTTTCAAATAAATACATTTTCTAAGAAAAAAAATTGTTTCAAAAAGATGTATTTTTTTTTATTTCCAATGCACTTTTTTGTCAACTAATAATGAAAAATTATAAATTTCAAAAACATTAATTATATTTCTTGAAATTTTATTGGTTTATAAATATAGGAAATAGAAAATTACAAAAAAAAACTTTGCATTAATAACCAAGTTCTAATATGTTTTGTTTAATAAATATGAAAATTTTAAACCTTGTAGTATTTCGAAACAGAGGGAAGGGAGTATTAAACTTTTCAAAAAACTATACTGTTGCCTCGTGGCCCATGAAGGTTTCGACCATCCTAACCTGCATTCTATATAAGAGAAACGATCTCAAGCAGATGCAAGGACATCTAGAAAATTAACAAAAGTCATACAATTTTTAAAACACCGTCTACGTTTTCTTATGAATTTAATAAAGTGTTCTGCATAAGCAATCTAACCGAAAATGGTTCACTACACCCATGCAAACCAGGCCCATTAAGCTAAACACCAATCAGTAGATTACACGTCGACATATTATAAACAAAATACGGACCTCTCTCTCCTCACGACTCACGAGTAACATCAAAACAAAACGTACGTTAGCTGTACAGCCTGTACTCATGCAACCCGTAACCCACGTATACGTAGTTACGTTACCTTTTACACTCTCTTTAATACACCACTGCCTTCTGCTAACCTGCGCACTTTTCTGTAGCGCGTGTTAGTCACAAAGCACAAAACAAACAACAAAACAAAACTTCAAACCTTCCCTGTCTCGATTCGAGAACAGTCCCGTTTTCCCGGGCAAAACGGAAACTGTTAACAGTCTCTGTTCTGTTTTTATTTTCCCAATAAAAATGAAAATAAATAAATAATATTAAGTTTCTGTGTGCTTTCTCGTGTTTATATATCCAAACAAATGAATGTGTTCAACCCCTCACTCTTCTCTCCTTCTTCCCTTACTCTCTCTCTCACTCAGATCTCGTGGAATGCTTATGGAGATGCAATGAGGAACTAACTGTGATTCTCTTCGGATATGGATTTGTTCTGCGGAGAGTGTTCCTCCGGTGAATCAACAACAGCTGAGTTCTCATCTGAAGAGGTTGAATCATGGCCTGATGATTCAATCGCGAGCTGTATAGAGGACGAGAGACACTTTGTTCCAGGACTTGACTATCTCTCTAGGTTCCACTCTCAATCTCTCGATGCTTCCGCTAGAGAAGACTCTGTCACATGGATACTTAAGGCAAGTGGTTAAATATATATATTTTTTTTTTTCGTTTACATGCAGAGATGGTGTGTTTAAACAGAGTGTTGCTTGTTTGGATGCAGGTACAAGCGTATTACAACTTTCAGCCTTTGACGGCGTACCTCGCCGTTAACTATATGGATCGGTTTCTCTACGCTCGCCGATTACCGGTAAAGCTTTTAAAACGTCAACGTTCATATTGATTTGACAAATAACAGCAATAACAAAAAAGTCAATAGTTTTTACCTTTTTCGTCGAATCTATTTATTTTATTGACTTTTATTCAAAACTTGTACTTGGTAGATGAGGTTCATGGTAAATGTGAGATTATAATATTAATTAGATGGTACTGATTTAGCCAGATATTATTTTGGAATGAACTATTTGTATAAATAATTATAGAGCAGGAGCGGGGATGGGAAAAAAAGTAATTCTTTTTGTTATTTTATTTACATTATTTTTAAGTTTTTACTCCTTATTTAATATTGGGTTTACATAATAATACTATACTTTTGCAGTAAACTTTCCACCTCCACGTATCCTCTTTATCTTAAAACTTTATAATCATATTGTTAAAACGCTCCTCTACTATATAATATATTAATTATTATTTCATAATTAATAATGAGATTGATTAGCAAGTCTACTTTTTTAACAGGAAACAAGTGGTTGGCCAATGCAACTTTTAGCAGTGGCATGCTTGTCTTTAGCTGCAAAAATGGAGGAAGTTCTTGTTCCTTGTCTTTTTGATTTTCAGGTAATTTCTTTTTTTTTAATCCCTTACTAAAAATCTTGAGTGGCTCTGTTTTCAGTATATCTGATTTGTGTATTTTTTGTTTGGAATGTAGGTTGAAGGAGTGAAGTATATATTCGAAGCAAAGACGATAAAAAGAATGGAACTTCTTGTTCTGGATGTGTTAGATTGGAGACTAAGATCTGTTACACCGTTCAGCTTCCTAAGCTTCTTTGCTTACAAGATCGATCCTCTAGGAACCTCTCTCGGCTTCTTTCTCTCCCATGCTACAGAGATTATTCTCTCCAACATGAAAGGTAGCTAATGTTGTATGTAAACGTTAATAGCAAACGTTACACTGGCCTGGTTCTAACAAAAATATATATTGCACAGAAGCAAGCTTTCTTGAGTACAGGCCATCGAGCATAGCTGCAGCTGCGATTCTTTGTGTAGCCAACGAGCTACCTTCTCTATCCTCTGCTGTAAATCCCCACGATAGCCCTGAGACTTGGTGTGACGGCCTAAGCAAAGTAAGTTGGATTAAGAATTTTTGATAAGAAAAAAACAGGATATTTACAAAATATTCCCTTCAGTTTATATATTAATTTTCCTTGAATTTCAGGAGAAGATCGTGAGATGCTACAAGCTAATGAAAGCAATGGCGATAGAGAATAATCGGAGAAATTCACCAAGAGTGATAGCAAAGCTTAGAGTGAGCGTAAGAGCAGCATCCACATTGATGAGGCCAAGTGATGAATCCTACTTCTCATCGTCATCATCATCTTTATCTTCTCCATCTAAAAGGAGGAAACTAAGTGACTACTCATGGGTAGGTGATGACAAATCCAGCCCTGAATAAACTCAGGGGGAGAAAGTAGAGTTATAACATTAAGTACATAGTTAAATAATAAGTTGGGGGATGGTATTAATTTTCTTTTAAAAAAAACACACACAATTAGTGGGTGGTGAGAGTGTTTCCATCCAAAGGGGAAGGAATAAGAGTTTAATGAAAGAGTGTTTGTTTACAACTTTTATGGGAAGGTAAGATTTGGGGGTTAGTTGGGAGAGACAATGCTCATCATTAATGACTTTGCAGATTCCCAATGAGAAGAAAGTAAGAAAAAAAAGTGAGTGAATGTAGACGACACACGTGTGAGAAGAAGATCATGAGAGTGTGTGTGTGTGCATGTGAGAGAGAAGGGCACATGATACATTACAGTCACAGGTAGTAGTGGTGTTGATAAGACGGGGAGCGTATGAAAAAAATATATATTTTGAGTGAAAGTTTGAAGATTTCAGACAGAGAGGGAAGCCTTTGTCTTAATGGATCGCAGCAGATTGTGGGCCCTAAGCTCCTTTGCGAGTATATAAACTGTGTATTTTGTTTTTGATTCCTTTGTGTGCCGACTGCACGTGCCGGAGGCGTGTGTCGCACGTGTTTTTGTTTGTTTCTCTTCAAATCTTTTATTTTTGGCGGGAAGTTTTGTGTCTTGATTTACCTTTTACTTGTACGTGCTCCGAAATGGGTTTTTGAGCACGGTGTTTTTTTTTTCATATTATATGCATGCGTGTAAAGCGTTACGTGTGTGTATATAAATTTCATTATAACGAAAAAATGTCTTCTGAGTTTCGATAAAAAAAACATGATGAGCTAAATAATGAAGTAAGCAATAATGGTCTTCGCAGACATTGTTAATAGCGAGAAGGACGTGAGAGATAAGATAATACGAGTGGTGTGGCCTTGTGGGGAGCATAAGGCATGTGAACCTGTGAGTTTGTGAATCGAGCTATGTGTTTTATTGGAGGACGAACGTATGAAGACAAAAGGTATATTTGATTAATATAGGACCAAAAAAGGAAGAAGATTATTTGTTGTCTATTGTCTAAATAGTAAACTCCCTCGCAGTTTCCCCTTTATAAAATGTAATCTATACACATTTTTTAGATAAAGGCTCTCTATAACACAATTATACAAGTAACCTAAAAAAAAAAAAATTATACAAGTAACTTTTATATTTACCAAATTTAACAGCATATCTATTTCTTTTAAAATGTTTAACTCTTTTTTTTTTTGATAGATGATTTATCATATAGCATCAGATCTTCACCGAACTATGACCTTATATTTGATCTACACGAAATGAAAATTGCAAATCTATTTCTCCCCAAATCAATACTTCAAAATTTAATTACCCAAATTAAATAGATTGTCTACCTTTTTTCATTCTTGGTTTTAGGCTTTTTTGGTATAGATGAACCATTAATAGAAGCAGTAACATACATGTGATGTTCATCTGTCTCAATGTCAGAGAAAGTGGTCTCACCACGGAACCACACAACGTAGCAACACCGTTTCCTCTCTCGAACCCCTCAAACATTAGCCACACATATACCGAGCTTATACCTCTGTCTAGTCTCTATCTATATGTATGCACGAATCTACAGGTAAAAATGAAATGAGAAGTGAAGGAAAAGTCTGAATTTACTGCATAACAAAACTCTTAAAAGGTCATCTTTTAACCATGTTATTTTGAGTTTGTTCCGACATAATGTAATCTCTACTTCAACAAAATATCTCTTTCCTGATAATTCTAATTAATTAGTTTAATATTTATATATATATAATATGATTTTGTTTATTCTTCATCAGCGACTTATTTTCTCGCCACCAATGAATTAGGCACGCGTCTCGTTCATTAAGCTAATCACTCCTTACTTGTCTATCAGATTTAACATCGTAATCTACTTTCTATATGCTCATGACGCTCCTCTTCTCTTTATTTATTATTTAGTTTATACTACTTTCCCCATTATTCAACTATACACTGATGTCGACATCATTGTATAAGCTCAAATCTGTATATAAACTAGGGCTGGGCATTTTATCCGTTTTATTTGATTCGATTCGTTATTCGTTTCGATTCGATCCGAAAATTCTGGATATCCGTAAACTTTCGAATCAAAGCAAATACTAAAATTCAATATCCGTTAAAATCGAAGCAAATCACAAATATTAAAATTTTGAGAAGCGGATATCCGATTCGATCCGGAAATATATAAATATATGTATATCTTGATTATATTTAAAATTTTAAATGTGTAAAATTATATAATTATTATTCTAGCACATGATTTTGAACAATTCTATTCACATTATTACTAATATAAAAATATTACATAAAAGAGAAAAAAATTATGACAATTATATCTTTTTTTCTTTAATTTTGTGTTATTATAATTGTAACTTAAACTTAAAAATTACAAAATATGTAAATTCACTAGCTCTTCTATTTATTATTTTATATATCATGAAAAAAATATTTTTACCAAACAAATTTGTATCAAAATCTTAAGATTATTTGTATTAATCAAAATGTATAAGATATTCGTAAATATTCGTAAATACCACAAATATCTATTTATTTTCCGGATATCCGTATTGTTTCGAAGCAAAGCAAATACCAAAATTAGATATCCGTAACATTCGAAGCAAATCACAAATACCTTAAAAAACCCGGATATCCGATCCGTGCCCACCCCTAATATAAACTATTGAAAAAATGTACTGTAACAAGATTTTGAAGCTACTCGATCCACTCAAATGTACGTAACAATTTGTGTTACCACTTTTATTCCCGTATCAGTCAATATTACTATTTATTAACTTTTTCTTTCTAAGAAAAGTTGTCATGGTGGTGTAAGAGCATCGATATGACATGACAATCTGAGGACGAACCATAATAAGAGAATTCGTGCAAGATAACTATTACAAGAAAGATATAAATAGTATTGTAAAGAAAGAGGTTGAGAAAGAATAGAAGCTTTACTTTCAAAAAAAAAAAGAATAGAAGCTTCACGCACTACTATTTAATCTAACATGAAGCAAAAAAAGTAAAGAGAGATTATGGTGGTTAGGTGATTAACAAGTGCTAATTATAAATAAATTATGGCAGCCTACATATTTGGACATATCAAGCATCGGGATCATTTTTTATTAATTTTAATCCTCTTTTTGGTTTTGGTTAGGACAAACGGGGACGCAAAGGGACCGAAGCTTACATATCAGCGTATAAAGACATACGTCTTTTAATTACATCTTAACTATCTTTGTCCTTTTAGTTTGGTACACGCGTTCGCCATTAACTGCATCCCTCTAAATTATCTGCATAAATATTTAGACCCCTTTTAGCATACACTTATCTCACCAGCCGCTTATAGTCAAATGGAATGTACATTATTCATAGAGAAAATGGACAATGATTACTGATCATAATGAAATCGAGACCAAAGAAAAATACATTATATGTTGACAGAATTCGCATTCATTTTAATTAATATAAAATGGACAGATTTTATAGTACTACATTACATATACACATGTAGGTGAGTGTGTAATGTGTGTATATAGGCACATGTAGATCATGTGCATGTGGGTAGGAGGAATAAATCAGAAAGACTTCGCTTTATTCTCAACTAGTGTTAAAAGTGAAGGATCCTATGTCTAATTTATTCTAAACCCAATACATAAACCCACCTGCCTGTTTCTGTGTTTATACTTCATACCATTATAATCTATGTACATGTTTCCATTATAGATGCAATCTATCTATATCGAACTTACCTCTACATAAATGAATTAAGAACATACAGACGCATACATTAACCTTTGTTCTTAAAGCGAAACAAAGGGAAAAGGAAAGTCGAGGGAATATATTTTAGAGCATATAGCAGCAAATGTTGCACATGGATTCTTTGCCTTTAATCTTTAGAGAAGAAGATACAATATATTCATTAAATTAATCAAACTTTGGATGCTTGTAAAGTAGAAAGAAAATATAAAGTGATAAGATGATATTTAGAGTCAGAATGAAACAATAAAAATAAAGAAAAGATAATGAGAACGCAATGGTGGCATGGCCCGATCCGTAGGGCGTGAAGGAGTGAGTGAACTTAGTTTCTCGAGGGAGCGTCTCTCATTGTGTTTTGCTTTAGAAATTTTCGTGGGTTTGCCTTTTTTGTTATTTATGGTCACAAACCAAGATTTGGTCACTCTCCCTTCTTTGCACTTTCATTTCACCAATACCACCTTATCATTTATATAGTGGACATTGACACATCCTTCTTACCAAAGTCCTTTGTTTCATCATCAGTCACGCTTTTCCTAATCCCACCTACTCATGTTGTTACAAGGACACTTGCACACACACATGTGTGCGAAGCTGTAACTAATTATCGTATCATAAGTAAGCATAGTTAATATTAAAACCTGGATTATAAATCTGACACTCACACAAAACAATGTTAAAGAGAAAAAAAAGATATACTTATTTTGTAATATTTCACCTTCAACATGTGAGTTAGTCCATTTTCAGCCGGTTCATATTTTACGGTGATTAAAACATTTAGCATATAGTTTTGATTCTTTCTGATTAATGAAAAGAGTGTAAGGGAAAAAGAGGATGAACATGGGAGAAAGGAGATGAGGATAAAAGAAAAGTAGTGAGCACAGCTGCACAGTGACTGAAAGCCATAAAGGTAAGATTGTAAGTTTTTTCAGATTGAAAATTTTACAGAGTTTTCAGCAAAGGGTCGAGAAAGTAGAAAGTTGAAAGCGAAAGCTGGTTTTGGTTAAAGAAAGACAAAAAGAAATATTACACTCTTTCTGATTTGACACTAAAGAAGATGTGAATGTGACTGTATAGGAGCCATATCAATAATGTATTGAATCCACTTTCACAAATGAAATTAATTAACTCCTCTAGTCACCATCCTAAATAAGATTTAGTTATAGGAGATTTTTTATATTGGGCCACGACTTGGGAAATGCTCAAGACCCATTTTAAGGTACTGGTATTTTGTAGTTTGCATCAACGTCCTCAAATTTAATATCCTAAGTCTCAACTTTCAACTAGTTTAAGTCTACACTCATTAAACCATATTTCAATAACGGAGCGAAAAATAATGTAAAATCTTGACTTTTATCAAACGAGTATGGTTCTAAACATGTATAGTTCTGGTTCGTAGAATCCAGATTTGCTATACAAAGGAGAACACTAACACTCTCTGTGTTCTTGTGAACATTCAAATTCAATCTTTTACAACATAGAAATCTCTAATCTTAATTCTTATCATGAAACAACAAGGTATTAGGTCTAAATTATTCTCATGATAGTAGCGACCCATCCCTTTGCTGTGTTTCATCGAACATCTCCTTCAACTGTCCCATGTGCCACTGTTTAGTTGCAACTCTCTCTCTCTCTCTCTCGCCATCTTTAGTTGTGGCAGAAAACTGTGTTTACATTACATATGTAGCGTAGCCTATACAAACTTCGATTCAAGCGTTTTTTCGATTTGGTTGGCACAAAATAAATCAACACAAGTACATAAATATAAGAGATAATTGGCTAAAGTACCCTATTTAACACCTATAATTAGAGAATTGCCCATAATGTGACAATCACTTTCTTTTGGACCATTTTGCCCTTCTCTACACTCTCTCTCTTCTCTTTGACATCTCCCCTCTTTTTTTTTCTCTCTTCAATCCCTAATTATTTTATAAATCTCTATCATTCTATATACAATTAAATTTTAAATTTCATAATTTTTTCATAAGTGGCTTTGAATCCTCAATTTTGACCTTTTTCTCTCCAATCCCTAATTATTTTACAAATCTCTATCATTCTATATACAATTAAATTTTAAATTTCATTATTTTTTTCATAAGTGGCTTTGAATCCTCAATTTTTTGATGATATCAATTTTCTGGGTTTTAGATTCGACGTCGTGTTAGCGGTTAACAAATATTGTAGACGTTAACAGAAGTGTTATATGTTAACAAATGTTTTTACGCTTCGTGTTAATGAGAGGAAAGAGAAAGGGCATTCTCGATATTTCCTTGTCAAATGGTTGTGTCAGTGTCCTTCATGTCCAATTAATGATATTTTGCTAATTTGAACTTCAAATAT